AAACTAAAATAAAGAAGTATTTTGACACCAGACCAAAAGGGAAAGCTGGTTTTTGAAGGTTTGACTCAGCTCTGCATATGTTAATGGAACAGAAGAGATTGTAGCTGAGCTTGGTACAACCCACGAGAGCTTGAAATGAAGTAGGTGTGGCACCAACATCATCACCAGCAAAATTCCCTCTTTTCCTTGGAGACACTAAAAACAGTTTCATGACTCAGTGGGGCTTGATAGGAATCCTACACCTGAAGGACTTTCCTGGAGCTCTTGGAGATGTGATTATCTAACAGGCATGTCTGAGGTGAGCCCCATAAAACCAGCCCACAGTGGGACACAGTGGATTTACCCCCCTGGCTATTTTCAGAATGATTCCATGTCTTTGGTTCATCTCCTCCACCATGTTCCTTACCCACAAACACAGTTCTGGGTTTCGTTCCACTTCTCAGAGTAGAAAAAACTCCTCTGCCCTCGAGCAGGACTGAACTCAGACCAAGAGCCAAAGAGTTTTCAGGAAGTGATTAATCACAATTACAGACCACACCAAAATAACACCGAGGAACCATTCTGCATGGAGGGCACAGAGATGAAGGAATGGGACGTGTCTCTCTGCGAACATCAACGTTATTGACTTCCAAACACTGAATGAACTGATCCATATGGACCCTGCTGTCAGCTGAGACCCAGCAGCTGCTCTGCAGATGGTCCTCAAAGAGAAATGAGAACTAAGTGAGAGACAGGAGTGGAGATTCTCCCAGGAGCCCAGTTCACTCTTTCATTCCTCAACCACATCACAAGGAAGACCCAAAACACGAAGATCAGGCCAGGTACCAGCTCCTGGTCTCCTACCAGGTTTCTGTAGATGTTCTGCAGCCACCCAATGGCTTTAGTTTAGACATTCTTTACAAAAGCCATACCAAGTACCTCCCAAACACCTACAACTAGTCAAAAGATTTGGTCAGAGTCACCTGAGATCAGGAGATCCTGATAATGAGACTTTGAGACCTCACAGAACATTTTGGGTTGGAAGGGACCTTTCAAGGTCATCTAGTCCAACTTGAGCTGTGCAGAACCATGCAAAGCATTTCTGATGGAGCCTCACTACAATACCAACACAAAAAGCATTTTGAAGACTGAAGAAAGTCCATAAAAATAATGCAATGGCCCCTTCTCCTTTCACAGAGGTTCATCCACCACTGAAGACTTAAACTGTCCCTTTGGAAGAGCTCTTGATGGAAACGTAACATGGAGCACAACCTTAGTACTGTTTTCTCTCTTTAGTCATAATTTAACATCTCAAGATGCTTCCAAGGTGATTTTTTTGCTCACAGAGTTTTTAAAGAAGCATTTTCCTTCATTCCTTAAAGACATTTGAGGGTTTCAATCAAAATTAAACCCATTTCTTTCTTGCTCTAACTATACAGTTTTGCTTTCAAAAATATATGTGTATGAATATGTGCTTTCCACAGGTTTGGTTTTGACAGTTACCTAAATCTGCAAGAAAAATGCCTTCCTCTATTCCTACTGAATACAACTTCACCAAAAAAATCCCACATTGTGATAGAAAATGTTGGCTAATTACTTATGAACCTCACGGTTCACTTTGGGGTCTCTGAGCAAAAAGATCTCATGGGTAATTAGTCAAGAAAACACTCCCACCCCAAATATTCCTGCTCCACCCCCAAAATTCCTGTTCCACCCCCAATATTTCTGCTCCACCCCCAATATTCCTGCTCTGTACTGCCCAGAGATCTCCCAGGGCACACACAACATATGATTTACACACTAAATATTCACCCAGTGTAAAATCAAACCAGGACATTTCAAATGAAAAAAAACCCACAATTATTTTAAGCTACTTGGAAGTTTCAAGAGACACATTTCCTTTAATAAACTTTGATGTCTTATGAGTTTTTTCTGGGGGGTTCAGGGTGTTTTTCGTCCTAATTTTTTCACAGCTAGATCCAGTCTTTGCTGGCACCTTGAGTTTACTGCAGCAGCACTGTCTGCCTGCAAATATTTGATCATTAAGAGATGAAAATACCCAGTGAAACACCAGCCTGCATAGGAAAGGAAATATCTCAGATTTAATCCCAGCTGGAACCTGAAGTTTGTCATGTTCCAGAAAGGCATCATCTGGATTTGAGTATATTAAGAAGCAGCATATGATGTAAAAACCAAAATTAAACCTACAATAAACCCCAGACAGCAAATCCTAGAACACATATTAACAGCTAAAAAAAAAAAAAAAAAAAAAAAAATACAAGGAAAAAGACCCATTCCAGAAGAAATTCTCAATGAAATTCAAGAAAAATCTTAATTTCCAAATAATCTTTCTCAATCCTTCAATATGAGGGTGATAAACCACTGGAATAGTGGAATGGTGGTGAGTCCTCTGCAGGGATCACACTTGCCTCATCTTCCCTGGACTCCAGTGAGGTAACGAGCAATTACCTCCTAATTCAGCTCATAATTACCTCCTAATTTATTGCTCATAAAGGGTTTACAAATTTGGCACTGGGGGGGTTATAGCTCATGGAGCACATCACAAAGCCAAGCCCCCAAAAGGCAGCTGGGCCCTCCACCAGTCTCAGAACCAAGCCACAGAAACGGCCACCACCATTCAGGCCGTGGTAGTCCATGTTGGTCTCCATTGGACTTTCACACTGGCCACGGGGGATGCTGAAGGCACCCAAAATTGTGAGTGAGTTTTCCTGATCACCCCTTGGCTCCCCAGTTGACAAATCACCTTCTGGATGGAGATTGCCACCGGTGCACCCTTGGGGTAGCAACTGGCACCTGCTGCTCGTCAACCTTCATCAACCCCACCCCAGAAGGGTTCTCTGAGAGCCCAGGCAAAGTGGACAACTGCTCAACTCTCTCAGCCTCCAAGGCAGCTACACCAAGGGCCCACCTGTGCCCTTTCAGGTCCTTGAAACATCCTCTCCTGAGATATCTATGCCATGAATGCATGGAGCCTCTGGAGTGGTCACCACGGGGTGTTTATGCCACTCCTTCCCAGCCAGGCTCAGTTCAGCTTCCAGACCAGTGAGCTGTTGGGATCATCCTGTCACCCCAGAGATGCTGATGGGCTTGACCCACCAACCTACAGAGCTTGATGGCATTAAGGTGCACTGTGTGCCTCTACCTACCAAAGCTTTGTACTCCTGTGGGTCATATGTGCCCGGCCACAGGGACCCACACAGCCCGGTAACCCAACTGTCGCTTTCCCCTACCTGCCTGGAGGCTGAGCCTCTCTAATCCTGACCAGAGTCACTCCCTCCTGAAAACAGCCCCCCCAAAAAAAGGAGCTACTGTGGTTTAGCCTCAGCTGGGAACCAAACCCCAGGAGCTGCTGCCCGCTGCTCCCCCCCCACATGTCAGGGGGGCAGAATCGGGTCATATGTGCCCGGCCACAGGGACCCACACAGCCCGGTAACCCAACTGTCGCTTTCCCCTACCTGCCTGGAGGCTGAGCCTCTCTAATCCTGACCAGAGTCACTCCCTCCTGAAAACAGCCCCCCCAAAAAAAGGAGCTACTGTGGTTTAGCCTCAGCTGGGAACCAAACCCCAGGAGCTGCTGCCCGCCGCTCCCCCCCCACAACAAAAAGCCCCTGGGTTGAGATAAGGGCAGGTTAATAAAGCAACCCAGAGGGAGGAGACAACACCACCAGCAGTGAAACAACAGCTAAAAGAAGTGACACCAAAGCCCTTACCCCAGACGCAGAGGCTCTCCCTGCTCCGGCCGTGAGCTAACGAACCACGCTGCTCCACCCCTCCCCTTCTACAGAGGGTGTGATGTCACTGTGGCATCCAACCCCCCATTGACTGGGTCACTTCTTTACCCAGCTGTGGCCCCACCCAGCTGCAGCCACTGCTAAAAATTAACCCTCTCCTGGCCAAACCCAGGGCAGGTCTCTCCATGAACACGCAGCCCGAGGTCCCTCTGGCAGAGCGAGGACATGTTTTTTGGGAAGCACAAGCCTGGTGCTGGTGTAGCCAGCACAGTTGGGCTTCTCTTTGAAGGCCTCAGAAGACTGAAGGACTAACTCCAAGTTCTAGTCATTTGTTGTGGCATGTGAATATATTTGTTTAAACGACACTATTTGCATGAGAAGAGTCTCCAAACAGAAACTCTTCCCCATCTCCATCTTCAGAGCCCTTCAAACAGATTTTGAGCAGTCTTCTTCATCTGAAGTGTACACAGTACCAGTTGTTTGAAGCACTGGAATCTTCTCCCTTTCCAAGAGCTGAGTCCGGTCACAGAATTGGCACAATTAGATGCAAAGTTTACCACTCAAACCAAACCCAAACCTGACCACAAGCCAGAGCTGTGCTTCCTCTGGCCACCCCCCTCACTGACACTGGCACCTGGGCATGACAGGCTGGGATTTAATTATTATTTCTTTTTAAATTCCATTTTCTTCATTCCTTGCAGCAGGATGGTCTCAATGGTTTCCCTTTTTTTCTGCCAGCTCTGGTGCAATCCCAACACTTCCCATTCTCCACTGCCCAACCTTTCCAGGGCAGCTTTTCAAACTGCACATCACAGGAGCACACAGAGATGGTCATTAAAAAAAGAAATAAATTTAAAAAGGCACCATCTTTCAGCAGCAATTAAAGCAAAATAGCAAAAAAAGATCTGTCCATGCTCCTCCATCAGTTCTGAGGGCAAGCACAAGAGATCAAAGGTTGTGCTACACATGAGATCTTCACCCCATGCAAGCCACAGACAAATCTTCTGATATTTAAGCAGGCTGAGCTGTCCCTGAGTTTCATCCTTCCTACCAAAGCACTCTGATTTTCCTTAAAGAGATCCTCATATGTGACCAGCTCCTTCACTGCCAACCACAAATCTTCTGACCATCAACACCCCCAAGAGCAGCAGACTGTACCCCAAACCACCACTTAAAATGGAGCTTCACAGAGAGCTGGTGACTCTTTTACAAGACCAGATTTCATCAGCATTTAATAAAAAGCCTAGTGAGAACTTCCCAGGTACTCACAGTAGACATCCACTCGTATGGACTTGATGGCTGGTGAGCCCAAACCGTTCTCAGCCTTGCAGTAGTAGCGTCCTCCTTGGTGCCGTTGGATGTTGGAGATCCTCAGGGTTTCATTGAAGACACTGGAATCTTGAAATCTGTCAGAGGCACTTCCTGCTGTTTTGGTCCACCTGATCTGAGCAAGCACCAGAAAAGATTGTTACTCTAAGTTTGTTAAGAAAGAAGAGAGGACAGATCTCTCCACTAAGCCCAGAGCCATGGGTGCAGCAACCAGGAGGTTATCCTGGAGGACTCAGAACTTCTCCAGAAGACTAATATCTCACATAAGTGGCTTTAAGCTAGAAAAGGGCAGATTTAGGTTAGATGTTAGGAAAAAGTTCTTCAACATGAGGGGGATAGATCCCTGGAATAGGTTGCCCAGACAGGTGCTGGAGGCCCCATCCCTGGGGACATTCAAGATCAGGCTGGATGAAGCTCTGAGCAGCTTGATCTAGTTGGAGATGTCCCTGCTTATGGTGGGGGGGTTGGACTAGATGACCTTTGGAGGCCCCTTCCAGCCCAGACATTCTATGATTCTATGATTTGCAGTCTAACACTTCTTCCTGAAGAGTAAATTTTACATTTAACACCCTTTCTTACAAATAGTTATTACTTTAGATGCAAACACCCCATAAAAACCCAAACACCAGTAGTAGACACATGGAGAACAACTCAAGCCACCATTGGTGACACCCAGCAGGAGCTGCAGAAAAATTCCCCGTGAGGAGCAACAAGCTGAGCTCACCAGAAAAGGCCCCTTCAAAACAACCAGGGGATTATCTTTTAGCAGCAGGAAAATCCAATGGGAAGGAGTCAGATGATCAGTGGCTCGAAACTGCAACAAACTGCTAGCATCCATTTCTTCAGATCAGGGGATTGATTTTATTTGATGTCATTTGCTGCAATTACAGGCTCCTTGACTCTGGTGAGTCTTCTCCAAAAGTAATGACTTCCCAAAGCTCAGTTTTTAATTCCCAACTCGTAAGATGCCAGTAGAGCCCACCACAACCAACAGCTAGCCCAGAGGTTATCAAACACCTATGATTGATGACCCAAGACCTTCCCTGTGCGACTCTGTGGACTCAGTTATCTCATAAAACTCACCAGACCTCCAGATACCCTCCCTCCAGGTATCTCCTTCCTCTTTCACTTCACACTAATTCACCAGGAAGACAAGCAACATTTAGTTCCAGATCAAACCATGTGATTTTCTTTGCCTATGTGGGCCACAAGCAGGACTTCTATGTCAAGAAGTGCTTGCATGTCTTCTGAAGAGTCTCAAAGCTGCAACTTCTCAACCCTATTGCCAGGATGAAGACCAAAAATTCTGTAGTGATTGATAAAAATTAGATTGACTCAAGACAATAAATATTTGGCTATTAGTGCTCAAATATGGTCCCCGAAGATTGACCCAAAGTAGTCATGAAGCCACAACTTAAAGAACATCATTTAGGTGCCCATCCATTGGGATCTGCTAAGCAGGCTGCCTAAAAGAAACCTTGAGGCTTGGTCTGGACAAGGTCTTGCAGCCTTGACAGCTCAAGCAGTGCCCATCTTCCAACAGCAGCAAGTCACGCAAGACTGCTGCCAGCCCTCTCCCATGGGAAGACAGGTCCCACGGCTGAGTTGGGTGGCCTTTGGTGGACACCAAGGTGGCCCTAAGGTTGCCTTGGCTAGAGATAGAACATTGCCCCAGGGTGAAAAGATGTTTGAGTTCCATCATTCCTAGCTGGGACTCAGAACTGGGGTCCAGAGTTCCACAACCAGAAGAACACAAGGTGGCAGGGTCAGCCTTCCTCTCTTTGGGAATTCTGGACAGGAGGGACCTTCTACAAAAGACTCCAAAATGAAAAATTCATGATGAGCTGTAGCCTGTGTAGATTCTCCTCCTCCTAAAGGGAAAAAGAATTCATAGCACGACCTCTTTCTTCCTCCTCTTCCTCTCCCACCAAAAAAAAATCCACTGGAAGTCAACCTGCCCTGAACAAAGAATCTACAACTGAATTTACTAGTTACATAGATGCTACTAACACCTTCTATTACAAAACTTACAGAGAAAAAACATGCAGAAAAGCTCATTTAAATAGTAGCAGAGCTTTATCTTTTTTATGAATGCCAAACCCTTCCCCTTCTGCTGCTTCTTAACACTGACTTCTCCATCTGCTCTTTATTATAAGGAATTCTAACAGGTTGCTGTGTCACTGTCATTAAAAGTAGATTTTTTGGCCTTAAAAAAGGCAAAAAGGAGGAATTTTAATCAAGTAACTGAGCTTGTAATGTAGAGATCCATGAAGAATAAAAAGAATGTTATCAACTTGATTCATCCTAAAAAGATACCCCCCAGGAATGGCCCTGGGCTGATTTAACTTCAGTATTTCTCTTAGTTTCCCCCAACACACACAGGAGCCCACGCTGACCAACACTCCACTGTAATTTAATTGAGGTGACTCTCAAACTCTATGCTAATGAAATCATAAAAAAAATTGGCACAGGAAAAATCTGATCTTTGAAAAACTTTTCACAGAGGTCCCCCATGGTTTCACCCACTGTAAGCTCCAGTCCATGCTTTGGGGTGACCTCTAAAGACACCAAGAACATCAAATCCATCCTTGGCTATGAGGCATCTCACAGATCTGGTGTCCAAGGCTTCATCATCCCTGGCTTGGATCAGCACCAGTGTGGCCAGTAGGAGCAGGGCAGGGATCAGCCCCCTGGACTCAGCACTGGGGAGGCTGCCCCTCAAATCCTGGGGTCAGTTTTGGGCCCCTCACTCCAAGAAGGACCTTGAGGGGCTGGAGCGTGGCTAGAGAAGGGCAACGAAGCTGCTGGGGAAGGGTCTAGAGCCCAAGTGTGGGGAGGAGCAGCTGAGGGAGCTGGGGGTGCTGAGCCTGGAGCAAAGGAGGCTCAGGGGAGACCTTCTGGCTCTGCACAGCTGACCAGCCGCACAGCCCGTGACAGGAGCCTGGAGCCGGGGGGGGTCGGGCTCTGCTCCCAAGGGACAAGGGACAGGACAAGAAGAAATGGCCTCAAGTTGCCCCAGGGGAGGCTGAGGTTGGATGTTAGGAAAAACTCCTCCTTGAAAGATTCATCGGGTCCTGTGCCAGGCTGCCCAGGGCAGTGGTGGAGTCCCCACCCCTGGAGGGGTTTCCAAGCCGTGGAGATGTGGTGCTGAGGGACACGGGGCAGTGGGGATCTGGCAGGGCTGGGGGAACAGTTGGACTTGATGATCTTAAAGGTCCCTTCCAACCAAAACGATTCTATGAATCTCTCACCACTTAGAGCACTGACACCTCCTTTTCAAGGTGGGGAGTGATGGCAAAGGAGGACCAAGGGTTCATGGGCTACTCTGGCAGTTCCCAGTCTCAAATCCCAAAGCAGCCTCCATGCAGCTTTAGGGTGGAGGACCCAGAAAGCCTCTAGATAACTAGATTTAAAAGAAAAGTTATTGGATTGTGTTCTCATATAGCTCAGACCCTCTTGGAATAACTTGGCCCAGAACAGTCGCTCACCCTGCTGCATTTTATCAACGTTTGCTCTTCATCATCTGCTCCCCTGAAAACTCCTCGTTCCCACGGCAGCTCCACGTGCTCTGAGTGTCTGCTGGGAGAGCAGGATAACACGGGAAGTAAATAAATCCTCTGCCACTGAGAACTTGAAGCCACTCTGGCTTGTAATGCAGATTTTTAATTAAAAAGCTCCTTCCGTGCAGCGTGAGATACACAAATCAGAGTAAAAAATGTTCATCCAGGATGCAGAGTCCCACTCGCTGCCTTCTAGGGAGGCAGCTTCCCAAAGCATCCACTGTTATCCCCATGGACATTTGGGAATCCCACCCGTGGAGTCTCCTTGCTCTGATTTTGCTCTTTGGTTATAAAAACCATAATTTTTCTCTCTCCTTTTTTTTCCTTGTGAAACAGGCAGGAGTAAAAAATGATTAATGAAAAATTCAATTAAAAATTATTCTGCTAATTCTGAAAATTAATAATTTCTGACCCCTCTAGACACACCATCACCACCTATGGACTTTCTGATCTGTATATGCCCATAAATTCTCCAACCATCAATATCTTCAACAGTATTTTATGGGCTGAAGGAGTTGCCCTGATCCACACAATCATAATTCACCCTGCAGCGCCTGTTTTCTCCACCAGCTTTCCTCCAGCTTCAGTAGGAGCCTTTAGGAGTCATACTCTTTATATTTTTAGGCCAAAAATTATGATTAAAAAATCACCCAAACAACTCTGAGTATATTTTGCCTCATTTTTCTCAGCTTCAAAACTTCTCATGCCCAAAAAGAGAGCAGTAGAAAAAGAAGATTTCATTTTGATATTATAAATATGAAATCATTCTTGTTCAAATAGTGTCTTGGTTAAAGACAATAAATGTTACAAAGCCTTTGTTCTGAAGACAAAATGTTTTGCTTGATTCAAAACAATCACCACCACCTTGAAAAAAAACAACAAACCAACCCCAAACCAACCCAACCCTCTTGCAATGGAGTCTCCTCTTTCCTCAGTGGGAATAGCTGGTGGAAGAGGAGGTTTGGACCATCTTCTGATCTACTGAAATCTGCCTAATGAAGCAACTGGGAGTAAATATGGTCCTAAAAACCCACCCAGTGCCCACACTGGGTTGGTACCACATCTCACTGCTGCCTCCGACAGGACCAAGGAAAGAAGGATGGTGAGAACCTCCCAAGCACTGTCCTAATCCCCAAAACCCTGCCTTAGATGAAAGTCCTCTCCATGCAAACAGCCATAAAAAAAGTCTTTGCCCAACTTCACTGTGATGTGTTGGAACGTTCTTCACACCTCAAGACATCAGAGCCCTTGGCAAAAGCCATCTTAAACACACCCACCACCCCTCACAAACAAAAAGATGGGGAAAATAATCCCTTCATTTTGTTTTTCCATGAGATGCCAGAGATCACAGAGAAATTGTTATTTCCCAGCTTGATTGCTGGGACAGAGGAAAAAGATTTCCTTCATCTTTTATTCTCTAACAGAGGAAACATGGTTATTAATTACAGAGAAAATCAGCACTAACACCACAAAGTTGCAAGCAATGAAGTCCTCTTAGAAGTTCAAGTCCAACCATTCCCCCAGCACTGCCTGGTCCCCACTGCCCCGTGTCCCT